ATGGCATCAACATATAAAGCCCCAAGGTTCACCGGGATTGATATGTTCCCCTTCGATTTTCCGACCGCTAAAAATTCAAATGTTGAATTGAAACATCACAATGTATTAAATGGTCTTCCATATGATGATCTTACTTTCGATTATGTGAGCATTAGACTTATGGCGATTGATGTACCAGATGATAAATGGCCTGAACTGTTGAATGAGTGTGTTAGAGTACTTAAGGTTAATGGGTGGATCGAAATAATAGATACAGACGGTGAACCTAGTAGTGATGGACCTTGGACCAGGATTGTTAGCAGAGCCAGTAAGAATTATAACATTTATTATTATTATTATTATTATTTTTATATAATTATATAATTTATTAACTTTTTATATTTAATAATTAATTCTTTTAGTTCGTGATCATCTAATCTCACGAAAGGTAAGCTTCAACATAGCTACCACACATTATCAGAATCTTCGTTCATTACCTAATCTATCCGATATAACACATGAATCCCGGATAATGAAAATTGGGAAATGGGGTGGGAAAATTGGGGAATTAAGCTCACAATATTTTCGAGAACTTTTTAAAGTATTTTTATTATTATTTGGTGGTCAAATAAAATTAAATGGTGAAGGTATTGATGGAAAGATTAAAGATTTTGTAAGGAGAGGAAGAAAAAAGAGCATTGAAGAATTTTTATCGAGGGTTGAAGCTGAATGTGAGATTTATCAAACTTATCTTGTTCATCATGTATTTTATGCTCAAAAATTATATCAGTTGTAGTCCTGTCTATTAATTATTATTATTATTGTCACTGTTACTATATTGTTACTATATTGTTACTATATTGTTACTATATTGTTACTATATTGTTACTATATTGTTACTATATTGTTATAATTATTTTTATTATTATATTATTCAAAGGAAATTAAGGTTAGTTATGAACTTTATGAATTTTTTAGATATATTACTTCTTAGATTAATGTATATTTACAGCTTAGTTATGACGCATATGATGTACTTTTTAAAGATAATAATATTTCCCCCTCATCAATCATTCACGTACCTTTATTCAACAATGCATTATTAAACATTAACATCAACATTAATATTAAAGTAACTAATGAGTATGATCAATGAGATGCAACTGCCTGCTTTTATTAACTTTTAATATAATTTATTCGTGCAAAACAACAAGTGTTTGAAGTTAGTCATTATCCCTCTGCACAATTAATCCGAACATTATCCCTCTGTACGAACATTCTATCCCTCTAATATTATCCGAACAGTATACGAAGAACATTATCCCTCTGCACGAGCATCATATGATATTATCCCTCTGCACGAACATTATACGAACATTACTGTATGCGAACATTATACGAACATTATGCGAACATTACTGTATGCGAACATTATACGAACATTATGCGAACATTACTGTATGCGAACATTATGCGGACATTATACGAACAATTGTACATGATCAAAATGATCAAAAGATAACATACTTATTTCCACTGTATTCTTTTATTGCATATAACTTTAGTTATTAAAATAATATAATTTTGTATTATCGTAATTTATGATTACATAATCTATAACAAAGTTTATCACCATTTACATTTAGATCACATTTAGATAAAATATACCTACATTACTATTTCAAGGCTGTGTTACTAAAATAATTAATGTCTGGTTAATCTTATTCAGTTCGTGTTATCGTTATACAATATAATATGTATGATTTTGTGTTTGGTTATTCATAATGCATGCTTCAATTCGTAACTTTATGTCGTGTTGCGACTAATTTTTATAACTAGTTGTTTGACGAGTTTAATAATGTGCGTTTGTAATTATTACTACCTCTATATATCTTTATATACTTTTATCTACCTCTATATATCTTTATATACTTTTATCTACCTTTATATACCTTTATATATCTTATAGGCTTATTCCTTAAATTCCATGTACGTACGTATCTACATACCATACGTACATACATACGTACTTACTTTAAAATCTTTATTTTGCATTTAAGGAGATTATGCATCTTTAGAGAATTTTAGAAGACCGTTTCTAATTGATGTGTTTACTCTACACTTGTGCCTATACGCTTGTGTCTATACGCTTGTGCCTATACGCTTGTGTCTATACGCTTGTCTATACACTTGTCTTTACATTTGTCTATACATTTGTGTTCTATTTAAATCTATATTTATCCGCTATGAAAGCTAAACCAGATCTTTATCCATGTGTTATTATATTTTATTGTACTATATATATATATATATCATTGTATCATTGTATCATTGTGATAAAAAATTCTTTACACAATCCCTATCGCTATGTAGCATTCTTTTAGAGTATCAGTTGTACTACTGTTATTTTAAGAAGAGCATACATTATAAACATCATAAATCTTTGACGTCTTCTAAAAAGTGATGAAAGTTATCCTGGATAAATGATCTTTGATATACATTGTGCATTAGGTTAGTATATGTGTTTACACTAAGTTAAAAAAATTTTTTTTAAAGTATTTAAATAGATTTGGTGATTTTAAAGTAGGTTTGAGATTTTATTTAAATAGATTTGGTGATTTTAAAGTAGGTTTGAGATTTTATTTAGGTAGACTTGAAATTTTTTATTCAAATTAAGTTTGGAATTTCATTTATGTACGCTTTGGAATTTTAAGTAGATTTGGAAATTTCTATTCATATTTCTATTCATATTTCTATTCATATTTTCTATTCATATTTCTAAATTCTTAAATTATTCCGGTTTTACAAAGTATAGGAAAACGAACGTTTTTTTTGATATCCCGGTGAGAAAAAAAAATATTTATTGTATCGCTACGATCATTGACTAAAAATAGTAACATGAGACTTAGGTAGGCAATTACATAATCATACACAAATTCACCTCCACTTGAGTTTCGGATAATTACCTGAATATTTATTCCAGGTAACATGTTACGATAACAGATAATACCTACTTACCTACGTACTGCAGTACTGTACGTATCAATATTTCAGATATTTTAGAAATTTCAGGGTAACGGTAAATATTTTGTGATAATCGACCACCCATACATACGTAGTACTGCTTTCTAATCTTCATCGAATGAGTAATTATTATCATTATATATTTGAATCCAGACCTAACCTATTATTACGTTATATTTTCCAGACCAAACCTATTATTACGTCATATATATTTAATTAACCCATATGGTTAGGTCTTTTACCAAGATGGGCCTTCGACATTTCAACAGGAGCGATCGTTCAAATTCGTAGATGATTCCGATATGGTTACACGATTGATAAATAGTTTTTTTTTATACATTTTACAATACTTTTTTTAAAAGCTCGGGTAGCTTAACTTTCTATGAAACGTGAATAAATTTAACGGATGAATTTATGGTTTTGTTTCACCCTATAATATATTCCTGTGAATCCCGCAACTTTTTTTTTGCAATCTGATTGGCCGATTTGCTAAAATTCGAGATTCGATTGGTTGACAATCACGTGTAATTATATTCGAATTTGAATAGTCACTCCTGTTTCAACATTTCCGATCGGGAAAATTAGGACCTAAGTCCCGGTTCATTTTATGTGTAAACATCTTTTACCTTTATTTATTCAATAGTTTATTCAATAAACTATTTTGAATTAATAAAGGTAAAAAAATGATTTACAAATAAACATGAACCAGGACTTAGGTCCTAATTTTCCCGATCGGAAATATCGGAGGGTGATTTTCAAGGCAAAGCGAAAGACCCCAAATAACATGATTAAAGTTTCAGCGAAAATGCTAGTTAGTAATCGAGATCTACGTGTTAATCTACTTAACATTATTTTCATGTCTACAAAATTATGAATGTGGTTAGGCAGTTACCGGTTATTTAGAATTTAAATTTTGTTTTTTTTTTTAAGTTTGAGATGTTTTAGTTTTTAATTAAACTAATTTGTTTGACTAACTATTTTCTCGCATGGTTTATATTTAATTGGTTAGAATTTTTTTTTTTTCAAAGCTTATCATTATTAACGTTAAGTAGATAATCATTCAATTGTTTCAAACATTTTAAATCAACAATAAGTTTGTTAAAAACCACTCAAATTTTAGCATGAATTCCGAATGTATTATGAATAATCGTGAAATTGAAAATATATCGATATTTAAGACACCTATTTAATCTTGTATCTAGATGACAAATTAGGGGTGCAAATCTGATTATGTATAAAAACGACGGTCAAAAAAAAGTATATCAGCGGATCTGTACAGTCTAGAACTGTCTAACGCTAAAAAAGGAACCCATCGGTTAGAATTTCGATCAAATTTGTTAATCATTTGACTAAATTTCCAATTATTTTACTTCAAGGCCTTGGTCAGATAATCGACATTTGTTGACCGAAATTATAACTGATTTATTTATTAAAATTGCCGATATGTGATTATGTGATGATGGTGATGATGTCGATGATGTCGATCATAGTTGACACCCGTATACGTAATCTGATTTATAATACCATAAGGAAATACCAATACCGATACTACATCTCTGTATTGTCATAGTATTATTCCTCGTATGTATCGATATGAGATCATCTAAAGCCATGTGTAATAAACGTGGCAATTGACATCGGTCAATAAAAACATCAATTAACAAAGTCAGTAGCGGTAAAAAAAAAATCGTCATGGTTAATGTTGATTATTAACTTAATATATATGTAATCTACAATTTTGGAATTCTTGGAAACTCTTGTTAATCTTGAATTGTTGACACAATTTATTCTGAATCATAATTTAGCATATGTTCATTTATAGCATTATTTAATTATCGGTGTCGGTGTATTTGAGTGTCAAGAAAACCCCGAAAATTTAAATATGACTTTTATTTAAATTTTCGGGTTTTTTTTTAGCATCATTCGTTTCATTCATTCATTCATTCATTCATTCATTCATTCATTCATTCATTCATCTATTTATTTATTCATTTATTTATTCATTTATTTATTTATTCATTTATTCATTTATTTATTTATTTATTTATTACAATTCAAACACGTAGCTCTTTGTATTAAAAATTCTGTTTACCCTTGCTTTTTATGTGGTCATAATCAAATTATGACAAATTATGACAATCTGTCTACACCACTAACATTTAATTATTACGTTGATGATGATTGACGTTAAAGCAAAGAAAAAAAAAATCGTCAAGTAAAAAAAACCATAAAATCAAACAGTAAAACTTACTACGTACCACTTGTGATTTTCGCATATAATCACCCATGTAATCTGATTGGACAAAATTTATTTGTATATACAGTTTATATCAATACCGATACAATAAATTATTTGTATATACAGTTTATACTAATAAATTTATCAGTAGATGGTCGGTCCTTGGGCTAGTTTAACACAGCCCCTAGTTCAACTGCTAGACTAGTGCGGTAGGTCGCTCTTAGAAGTATCCGGATGATATCAGCCCTACAAATTAAGTAAATGTTTATATAGTTATATAGCTATATAATAATAATCTTAATAAAGCCACTGGCGAAACTTCCCAAGTTAAAAAAAAAAAATAAATGAATAAATAGAACTTAATTAGGCATCGCATAGTGCGATACTCTTATATTTATCGCGTATCAATTTGATTCATGGATGGTAAATGAGCTGGTCATTTGATCAAATTTTAAATGACCCCAAGTTATCAAATAATGACCAGGCATTTGGTCATTTGCATATATAATAATTTTATTGGTTGAATTACTCGT